CTTATTTTTTTTACAACAAAAAGTCACTAAGTTAGCAACAGGACACACATATGAACAACCAAAGACTCCAACAACACAACAAAAAGTTGCTAAGTTAGCAACAGGAGACAAATCTGATAAGGGAACAACCAAAGACTCCAATAACACAAAGAAAAGTTTCTAAGTTAGCAACAGGACGCACAAATTAACAACCAAAGACTCCAATAACACAACAAAAAGTGGCTAAGTTAGCAACAGGACGCACAAATCTGATGAGGTAACAACCAAAGAGTCCGATCATGCAACAAAAAGTTGCTAGATTTGTTGCTAGTTGTTATTGTTTTTTTAATTAGCCGCTAAAGAGCTCTGTAAACTCACTAAATAGAGCATCAAAGTTGCTAAGTTAGCAACCGGACACACAAATTTACAACCAAAGACTCCAATAACACAACAAAAATCGCTAAGTTGGCAAGAGGACGCACAAATTAACAACCAAAGACTCCAATAACACAATAAAAAGTTGCTAAGTTAGCAACAGGACACACAAATCTGTTCAGGTAAAAACCAAAGATAACTTTGTTATACCCCTGCTATCACATAATCCATGTAAATCAGAGATTGTCTTACTCCTTTAAGAACTCTCTGGCTGAGCCCACAGATTCTCCTTCTCTCTGTTACTGTAGATACTCGTCTTCAAGCTCAACATCCACACTTTCTGATCACATTCCAGTGAAATCTGCATGAATTAGCATTGAATTGGCCTGTTCATGTCAGAGCTAACTGGCCAACAACACTCCGGTCTTTCAGAACCAGCCCAGAAGATGCACGTCCAACACACCCGGAAATAGAGGCTCTGGTACCTGGTGTAACACATGATCTGGCCGCCGTGCGTGGAGTCCCGCTCCACGTCGCAGGGGACCGACATGGCGTCCGACACCAGGGTCACACGGTTCCCAAACAGGTCGTCCTGAGGGTTGAGCTGGAACTGACGCTCCTGAGCAAAACCTGGGGGAGAGGCAGCAGGTGGGAGATCTTATTATATAATATAACATTATATAATATAATATAACATGATGTAGTATAATGTAACATAATATAATATAATGTAACAGAACATAATATTACATAATGTAATATAACATATCTATCTATCTATCTATCTATCTATCTATCTATCTATCTATCTATCTATCTATCTATCTATCTATCTATCTAATGAACTTGTTTTTAGGCTTAATACGTAATATTTCTGACTTCCTGGTCGTTATTTGGGGGTCTTTGCAATCTAATAGCAGCTTAATAGATATAATAAGATACTTTAGGCTCAGAGATCTTCAGGGGCTGCTTTCAGTTCTCATGCTTTCTTAAATCAAATTGAACTATTTCCCAGTTTATTTGCTGCATTGAATCTAAGTGCATCGTGTTTGGACCCCTTTGCATTAATTATTTGTCCTACTTTTTTAAGGTAATGATCTTGAAATGACCAGACCATCGATAAAAGTTGCGTATCCTTCATTTCTGAAAGCGCCCGTCCTAAAGGGGGGGTGGAGGTGGGGGGGTTAGGCCTTGAC